TCCATTTAAATTTGATGTTTTTTTTCAACCGCTCGTTCCCTCCATTTACGACGAACCAAACGTCTTGGCCGTTTTAAGGTTTCACTGATTTCTTTGTTTCCACCTAACTATTGCAAGTGTTGAACTGTGCCATTTCGGCCGCTATGGTTTTGATCTCAATGACTTCTCCAGCCCATCACAGGAAGGAAGACTGAATATTGAACACACGCTTTGATACAAATCCACGTGCATACCGGCGCAAAATTCTTCTGTTTCGAAATATCTTTCACATAGTCAATAGTTTACTGCAATTTTGATATTTAATCAACTGTAATCCCGTCACATGGACCAACCGAAAAATCTGTTGAAAGACAACTGTTTGCCGTAGTAAATTGTCATCACACTGGCGCGAAATATGATCCAAGTCTTCCGTAGAGCACCTACGGTTCTAAGATTCGAACCGCTGCCAGAATAATCGACTTTTCTACAACAAATGAATAAACGTTATTGATTGAATTAAAGGTTCCCTTACTGGTGATAAACAGTTTGACTGTTGGCGCATGTATGTTACTCATAAGTAGTCTGCATCTAATAGTGATTTTTCATCAGAGGTGGGTGACTCGTTCATGGGCGGTCTAGCTTCACTTGGGTGCATAAGAATAATGTTCATCGAGACAATGACTTGCGCGAGGCTCCACCTAGTGATAAGCTGTCCATACATGTGGTCATCGGACACTATAACATTTTTTCTCAATGTCCTTTGGAAAACAGCCATTTCGACGGTTTGATTACGTTGTGCAAAATCAATCCCCAAATATCGGATTATGGTATTTATCACACATCACGGAAGTTTAGTGAACGTTAAGTGTTAAAATTGAGAAAGAAAAATCCAAATGCTATTATAGCAAAAAAGACCGACAAAACAGGTAATGATAAATCTTATAAAAGGCATACAGTGCGAAAACATGTTGCGATCTGTAAAAACATAGAAGATGATCTCTTCAGATAGCTACGATAACCAAGGGCGTGATGGTACACGGGTAGCACGTCGTTGTGGAACATCCCATTTTTAGTTTTCCGCCTTATGGCGAACAATTGTCCCGTCTCTAATCTCCTGTTAACCCTATATTTTCACATGATTTTACTGTCTCGCCATGGACTTCAGTATATTTTGCACGCAGTTATTCACAGAGTTAAGACACAAAAATATGAGTTATTTGCTGGAATTAGTTGCCAAATGAGTTGTGAAACCGATAAGAGTTAGTATTAATGCGTTTTAAAGGTTAGTTACCGTTGAATAACAAATGTAGCCTATGTAGTTCCTTTTAGCCGAGTGATGCACTGCGCTGTGCTTCTTGAGCAAAGAGTATACAATGGCCGAGCGAGAACGACAAGAAAGGGAGAAATTCAGTGATCCAGCCAACAACACGGAAGATGGAGACTAGCAAATGTGAATGAATGAAAGCGAA